AACCCACGCATTGAATTTCTGGGTTTTCTTCTTAACTTTGTCGACTGCCGCATGGTTCACCTGTAGGGGTCTCCTTGTATTCCTAGAGAAGGTGAATCAAGGAACTAAACTAATTGGTCTTATAAGAAAGTCGTCCATATATCCCTTGTAATGATCTTCAAGAGTGAGGTGCTTCCCCGCCTGGAGACAATGGGTGCGTCGTGAAGTTTATTTAAAAGTGGCGGTGGCTGGCTGGTCAAAGAAGACCCTGAATAATGATACAATAACAGAAAAGAAGTTTTAAAGTTACAAATGAGAATGTCACCGTTTATGAGATAAATTTAAAATTTTTATTGTTTCATGATTTATTAAAATTTTTACTTGAAATTGTATGAAGCTCATTTTAGCACTAATCAGGTCAGCAAAGATTCTCCGCCAAACTGTTGTCCATTTCTTGCAACAGCTGAAATCTTGGTGCTTGCTGGGCGTTTTGGTAAACGGCCAGCAAAACGGGCAATACGTTTGGTGGAAAGTATCCAGCGAGCCGCCACCTTAACCCCAATGGTCTTATCAGAGGATATCTCTGATTCACGAGGTTTTTTTTGTTTTGTTTTTTAGATTTGTAGGAATATTACCTACGTGGACCTCAAGCTAAAATGCTGGTCGCCCCACGAGAGGTGACAGAGGTCCTCCTCAAATGTGGCTTGTTGTCCGTGACGTCATCAGTCGACTTGTGCTTTTTACTTTTATCCTCTTCACCACTGATCGGCTCGCTAGCCGCTTGGGCGATCGGTCACGTCTCTGATTACTTTTCTTTTTCTTTTATCCTCTTCACCAAAACATCGGCTCGCTAGCCGCCCGGGCGATCGGTCACGTTTCTGTCACGCACTGTTGGCAAGTACTGGGCATGCACCGGCTCCTGAATGTACCTGAACCCACTCCAGTGTTGGTCAAGTCTTGTCTTGAAAGAGCTCACACTCGGTGCCGTCACAACACTTTCTGGTAGATTGTTCCAAGAGTTTACAACCCTCACTCCGAAAAAGTTTGCCCTCACAGTTTTCTGGACTTGTGGCTTCTTCAATCTTGAGCTGTGACCCCTTGTGGGGAGAGCGTCCGCCAGCTCCAAGTAAGGACACTCGACTGAGTAGTGCCCCTTGAGATGCTTATACACCTCAACTAGGTCGTCCCTTGCCCGTCTGTAATATAAGCTAGGCAAGTTCAGGCGCTCCAATCTCTCAGAGTAGCTGAGGTGCCGAAGTGCAGGCACCAGTCTGGTGGCACTCCTTTGAACATTTTCAACTAATTGACAGTCCCTAGCATATCTCGGGGACCAGACGGGGTGACAGTACTCCAAATGGGGAAGCACTTCATTCTTGAAGATCGTTACGAGGGACGGACCTTTTAGATATCTGAACGACCTTCTTATAAGACCCAATAATTTATTTGCCTGATTTACCTTCTTCTCGCAATGGCCCGAGAACTTCAGTCAGGGCCGGCGCCAGCCTATTTGGCGCCCTTAGCAGGACTGCAGCTGGCGCCCCCACCCGCCTCCCACTTCACGATTGGATTTGCCCACAAAGTAATCAAGGTACCATATTGAAGAAACTGTTTACCTTACACTGAACTATTTTAATTTGCTAATACATAGGCTACATTAATTAGCAAATCCTCTTAAACTGTGGAATATCCAAAGAAAAGCACAATACAAGCAACATAAAATAATGGCATGAAAGGTGACTGTAAAAAACACTCAAAATCAAACTACCATTGTATTTAAACAAAAAGCAATTCAATTAACATATGTCATGACATTCTGGATTCCGCCGTTTTCTCTTCGCTACGTGCCTGCTTATAACAGTTATACCTTGACTCTTCTTGACTTCCTGGAAGTGAATTCGTCGATTACATCGTCATACGATAACTCCCTAGACACTGCATGGCTCACACTGATGATGGCCAGCCCACTAAGACGTTCCTGCGCCATTGTGGATCGCAAATAAGTTTTTATCAGTTTTAACTTAGAAAAGCTCCGCTCTGCTGCCGACACCGTTACAGGGAGAGTTGCACAGATCCGCAGAGCTACCCACAAGTTCAGGAATACTTCAGTAAGTTTCTTTTCATGCAGGAAGGTGAGAAAATCCATTGTTGTTATTCTCTTGGAAGGCAAATCTGGGACACTGCAGCTCCATGGCCAGTTCCCTTCCATCAATGTCTGAGTGTCCCTCATGAGTAAGCGTGTTGCTGAGGGTTTGGCAGTGATCAACGATGTCTTTGTCAGACATGTCCGTGAACCCTAACAATATCTTGAACTTTTCATTAGCCTCGCCCAAGGTCTTGAACCTCTCATGAAGAGAGGAAATCGCAGTGTCCACTACCACATTGAAAAATGTAGTCTCCGTCCTCTTGAGTGCATCGCTGACAGGTTCGTCTGCACACTCATAGCTAAAGTGGCATTTTTTAGTTCTTAGTCTCTTCTGTTTCAGAACGGTGTCTACGTTCATCGCTTCACAGATTTCTTTAGCAACAGTTAGTGCATCAGCAAAACCTGTATTTCTGTAGCTGACAATATTATCTCTGGTCATCTTAAACAGATCTACAGCCACGCCGAGCTGTATCGTAGGCGACTGCATTAGTTTGCTCACGTGCTGAAATTTGCTGAGTATATCATACCACACAACTGAGCAAATGACAAAACGGTATGACCCTTCTTCCTCTGCCAACGATCGAGCCTCAACTTTGATGACAGTGTCAGTTGCAGATTCTCTGAGCTTCAAAAGCGCTTCTCTGATTTGCGCAAGTTGATATCTAATTGCCCCCACACTGTTTACTTGGCTTTCCCATCTGACGTCTGACCACGATTTTAAGAGTAATATTGACAGGTTTTAAAAGAACTTGCCACCTCTGAGGGGAGACTGAAAACAATGTGAATACTTTTGTTAAATATCCGAAGTAACAAGTTGCATCTAGGGAGCTCTTGGCAGCGTCAGCTAATAGCCTATCAAATTCAAATTATGGGCACCACACGGGACAAATAAGGCCCGAGAATTCTGTTGAAGAAGCCTGGCTTGAACTCATTTGATGTTTCCTCTCATATTTGCTCCATTGTCGTAAGATTGATCTCGACAATCCTCAAAATAAATGTTGTTTCAGTCTTCCGAGTAGAAGGCATGACAAATTTAGCCCTGTAGACTTCTCTACCTCAAGGAACCCCAAGAAATGCTCCTTTATTGTTGGCTTGTCTTCAAGTGCCACTATCCTGATTATGACAGAAAGTTGCTCTTTGAGACTCAAATCAGGGATGCAGTCTAAAATAATAGAGAAGTATTTCGATGCTTTGATATCGTCCACGATTCTCTCAGTAATCTTTGCACTGATAATGTTAATCAGTTCATTTTGGATCATTTGGCCAAGGTAGTGAGTGTGACTGTGATTGCCTGCATTACTTTCAACCCTACTTAAATGATTCTTCATAAGTGGATCAAATTTAGCCAAAAGTTCCACTTCTTGGAGAAAATTACCACTGGATGGACAGTTACGTTTTTCGGTTGACCCTCTTAGAGCCAAATTTCTTTCAGCTAGAGACTGAATAATCGCCACTAGTCTAGTGAGGACTTGGCGCCACCTGTTCCACTCAGCCATTAACATTTCCATTTCCCGTCGGTCTATCGTCCTTCCTCTTGCAATGTTGACCTCCAGTTCCTTCCATGTTGTCATGTTTTTAGTGTGCTCTATGCTACTTTCATGTGTGCTGAGCAAATGACTGGCATTTTTCCAATCATTGATGCCTTCTTCAACCATTCTAACATGTTTCGTAGAAAACATTTTACAACAGAAGCAAAAAAGTTTATCCTGTTTCACCGAATAAATTAGCCAACTTCTTTGGATCTTCTCTCCATTTACTAAGATTCGGCGAAAGTAATCATGTTGACATCTTCTCCCATCCTTTTTTTGGAAACACATAATTAGGGTCAACCTGGTAAGGTCCTCTGCGAACAAGTTCTGCTTTTTCCTGGTTGGACATTGAGGATGGCCAGTCAGTGGGGTCAACAGGTGCAGCCCTGGATGCAGCACATTCGAGCTGTGGTGGTGACACTGTATCTGTTGGCTGTGTAGAATGGAGCTGTGGTGGTGACACTGTATCTGTTGGCGCCCTTAGCATCTTTGGCTTTTAGCATTTGCTAACCTCGCCTAATGGAAGCGGCGGCCCTGACTTCAGCTCATTGTCAACATACACAACTAGGTCCTTCTCACATTCAGTCTCAACTAGTGCAGTTTCTTCATCCCGTTGGGACATCTGATACGCCTCCTTACCGTTGGTACGCCCCAGGTGCACAGTTTTCTGGACCTGCGGCTTCAATCTTGAGCTGTGACCCCTTGGGGTGCGAGCGTCCGCCAGCTACCAGTAAGGACACGCGACTGAGTAGTGCCCCTTGAGATGCATTTATACCTCAATTAGGTTGGCCTTTGCCCATCTGTAGTACAGTATTAGCTAGGCAAGTTCAGGCGTTCCAATCTCTCAGGGTAGGTAAGGTGCCGAAGTGTAGGCACCAGTCAGACGGGTCCGACTAATCACCCAAATGTAGCCAAATATAGCCGGAGTGAAGTCAAATAATGGTCCTACATGAATAAATCGGACTGCCAATCACTTTTCGACTAGTATTTGGTGTCAGAAAGTCACAAAAAATTGGTAAACTTAATTTAATCTGAGTTAATAGATCAAGTGCATGTACCTAACCTAACCTAATCTAACCTAACCTAACCTAACACAACTCAGATTAAATTAAGTTTACCAATTTTTTGTGACTATGACACCAAATAATAATCGAGAAGTGATTCACAGCCCGAATTACGCTTGTACGACCATCATTTGACTTCATTGCGGCTACAGTTGGGTACATTTGGGTAATTAGTGACTTCGTGACACCAAATACTAGTCGAGAAGTGATTGGCAGTCCGATTTATTCATGTAGGACCATTATTTGACTTAATTGCGGGTACATTTGGGTAATTAGTCGGACCCGTCGGACCCCACACTCCAGTTTCAGAGGCTGTCCAGTGTGCCCTGACGTTAGTGACGTGTCCTTGTCTGCAACTAGGCTCATTTAAAATATTTAGTTGTATCGCTGGCTACTGGTAAGGTCCGTTTGCGAGTTTTTTGTAGATACCACAAATTAGTGGCCAGTGTGCGGTCTTCCAGAAATATACTGTGTGTGGGTTTCATTTGTGGCCACCATGCAGGCAGTAGATGGCAGCAGTGGCAACACAACACTCAGTGGCGGGCTAAACGGGCTAGTTTGACAAGTGTGATCACAGTTGACATGTATCTTAACTTAACACTTGACTTAATGTTACTTTAGTGCCCAGGTTGAAATCAACTGAAATATAAAGATTCCTTGACACCAACTGAAGTTTTACGTACCTGCACAACCGAGTTGAATAACGTGACAAGAGGCGAAGAGGGTTGAGGTGAGTAGCCTTGCAAGTGTGTGAAGTTACTACAAAGTTAATCATTGCTTTTCATGCTTATATAAGCCTTAAAATCCACGTTGAACTTTAAGGTCAACTGTGGGTAACTATACAGGACTAACCCGTGAACGAAATTGATTAAAAACAATTATAAAAACGCCGGATTTTCATTGTTATATTATAGTGGACAATGTTGTAGTTTGTGAAAATATGTAGAAAAAAATATTGAAATAAATGCAACTTGCCATTTGTGGCTGTGAAGAACAGACCTAACCAATCAAACCAAATAAACCTACCTAACCTTACCTAACTTCCCCGGTATATTAAACAGAAACAACTTACTATGATATTGTGAAATTTGAGGCATTTTCTGGATGTCAGATGATACGGACGCATTGGCGCTATGCAGCCCTGGCGGATTAGTCCCATATGTTAACCAAACTGTGAATTAGGCGATTTAATTATTATTGCCGGTGGGGATTGATGGGAGGTCATCTAATGTGCAGTAAAATACAATCAGTAGAACCGTTCGTTTTTGGGTATTATTTTAGTTTATGTCATCGGGGAATCTTAGGAATTTGGGTTAGGTTAGACTTAGTTCCTGGATTCTGTGGCTAGGTTAGATAAGAGTAGATAAGAATCATTCAAAATGCACAAAAAAAAGTAGTTGGGTAAATTTTTACTTTTGGAAATGAGTCCGTAGGGGTTGACCAATATGTTTTTCCAGTGTATTTTGTTGTGTTTTAAGCAAATCTGTCCTTAATTTTTAGCGGAAATTGTTCGTTTTTGCCCGACCTCCAACAATAATGGGGGAGAGCCTGGGAAATCAGGGTTTTTGGGTGGGGGAGAACACAAAAACGAGTCATCTAACCTAACGTACCTAACCTGATAACGTAACGTAGCCTCACCTAACCCCTAGCCGGGGGCTCTGCCCCTGGACCCCTGGTAGGCCTAGCTTAAACTAACCTAACACTAGTTTATTATTATAAGAATGTTACCTTTGGTTTCTTTAATAATTATCCTGACAGTGATACAGCTGAAAACAGATCCACCAGTCACAATCACCTTTACATACAGCCTTCCTTTACCAAGTATTGCCAGGTAAAATTGCGAGCACGAGACCCAGGGTGGGGTCGGTGCATCTTTGGCTGACCGTACTGTACACCCACTGTATACTGTACAGACTAGCAAACACTGTCCACTCTGCTATATGAAGTTCAGTACTGTACTATCATTTAGCTAGTACATAAAATACTGAATGTACAGTACAGTATATGTAACTGTAATCACTTTTTACATCTTAACATTGCTTTAGTGGTATTTTGGCTGATTATACGGTATTACTGTATTTTCATTTGTCATCCGGGGAATCTTAGGAATTTAACTATTGGAATCAGTAGTTTAGACAATTCTAAGATACCTTTCTTCGATAGCATTTGTGTCACAAATTAGGTTAGGTTAGATTTCATATCCAAATTATGTTTTTCCAATGATTTTTCATGTGTTTTGAACAATTTGGACCTTCATATCTGTTGTAAATCACTAGTTTGTGTGATTTTTCCCCAATCAAACCCTGCGTTCCCACTGGGGTCCCCCATTACCATTGGATAAGGGAGATATAATAAACTAGTGATTTCCGATAGAAATGAAGGTAAAAATCCTTCAAAACATGTCGAAAACCATTGAAAAACATAGTTTGGATATCTAAATGCAAACTGAAACTAAAATTTTATCAACAAGCTTGTACAGTGGCAGCAGACAATGATGAACTAAGAGTGTCATGATGGAAGAGTTTGAAGAGATAGGCTGTGAGATACATCAGCCAATCATAGACATCCCACTCACTCACATGACAGTAGTGGTCAATTGAGGCTCAATAGTGCTCAGAGGCTCTAAGCCTACACAGCCATGAGCCCAGTACACATTCCCGCATTGGAAACCTGATGCAATCTCTCAGAAATTCGTTCTCATGCCCAGAATTAATTTACTGTAAATACAGTACTTTAACAAGGCAGTACTGTACTGTATAGTACTTTATACTGTATCTTAATGATTGTACAGTTCTACGGTGATTTTGAAATTAAAAACAGAACAGTATACTACTGCATTTCCTTCTTTTATTATAAATTACAAGCTTGCGTGGGTGATCACAATGCCCACTTACATTAACACACAATCGATACAATATTCTGAAAACCTGCAATTAAATCAACTCCTGTGAAGGCATATTATTGAAACAAAAGCAAGAAATATTGTCTGATGAGAACCTATTGCTTCTGTATCATTTCTTTTCATGCCCCATAAGGTACTGTTTAATTCTTTATGATTTTCAATTCCTAAGTAAAAATGCATTTTCCTATATTCTCACATGATAGTGCTTACTTGGCCTTGATGCCTTACACATCAAGAGGCAATTTTATAAGATTTAGTTTGTAAATATTTTTTCATTATTGTTTAAGACTTTATATTGATACAGAATTTTTAGAAACCGATTGTAAGGTTTGCTGCATTTAGTAGTTGAAGGGAGAATAATATATATATATATATATATATATATATATATATATATATATATATATATATATATATATATATATATATATATATATATATATAATATATATATATATATATATATTATATATATATATATATATATAATTTTTTTGTTTACCAGAGTTTTGTTATATACAGGTACTGTGTATTGTATATTTCTCTCAAGTGTAAGAATATACTGTAGTCTTATTTAAGATTATTGCTGTCAAAGGTTGATGAGAAATCTTCAAATAGAATAGAAAAAATATATTATGGTACGTACAGTATGTAAACACCCGGCAAAAGTAAGTGTCAAGTAGAAAAGTTGTACCATTGTATTGAATTGTCTTGCTAATACAGTATATTGAATAAAAATATTCAAGATGAAGGGTAAAATTAAGTACTGTAGCTAAAGGTCATAGAAAGTGCACTAGAAAATTCTAATACTGTACAGTGGTCCCTCGGTTAACGAACAGTTCGGTTAACGAAATTTCGGTTAACGAATTATCTTCCATAAGAATTTCAATTCGGTTAACGAACAAAAATTCGATTGCGAAATCCTTATGAACATCACGTTTTGTTTTGAGCATCAGCTGATCAGCTGATGGGCTAGTCTGCCAATTCAGTAATGTGTTCTATGTTTACATTCGTTTACAGTGGAGTAAATATCAATAAAGTTGTGCTCTTTAATATTTTTGCATTTTTTATATTAAAATTATTAGTCATTTTAACATTTATTTTACATATTGATAATATATGCAGTACAGGGAACTAGTTTTTTGTGCGCCCATCAGATGCTTGACTCAGCCACAAGGCGTCAGTTGGACTCTGTTGACAGTGGAGTGAACATCTATTTTGTTGGTGTTATTTTGCATTTTTCATTGAAATTATTGGTCATTCTGAAATTTAATTAACATATTGATACTATATAGCACAATGCAGTGTTGATTTAAATAAAATAATCTTGAATTACACCTAGTGAACTTAAAATTTTATTGGTGAAATGACTGCATCATGCATGGGTCCCCTGAAAGGTGATTTCTCCTCCATCCCCACTTCCTTCTCTTCTCCCTTCTCCTCCACCCCCACTTCTAATTCCCATCATCTTCCAGGAACCTTCTACAGGCACATCTCAAAGTAAGTGTACCTTACTGCAATTTTTTTTTTTACTTTGTATGTACTTTTCGGTGAGCTGGAACCAATTACCCAATATCCCATTGAAACAATGGATTCGGTTAATGAAATTTTTGGTTAACGAACGACTCTGTGGAACGAATTGTGTTTGTTAACCGAGGGACCACTGTACAATCACCGAGTCCATTATCAGCAATACAAATGCCAATATGACAATGCTGGGGAGGAAGGGGATGAGCAGTAACTTTTTGATTGTCACTAGTACTGTACTGTGTATACTGTCTACGTATAGCAACAGAATTTTACATATATTTTATCTTGTTTTTTAGCTTGTTCATATAATTACTTTTATTAAATGTAAACATACCAAACTTGTGCATACAATGGTATTAAGAGTATCTTGGACAGTATGTCCAGTATAATCGAAAAAGTATTGATTTTGCTAATAAATACAATACTGTACATATAGGCTAATGAAATAATATGACACTGAAGATTCTAGTTTATAGAGAGATTGAAAATAAAGTTAAATATTAGGGTTTTATCACACTGTTATAGAGGCCTAATCAAAGAATTACTTTTATTTCACACTCGAAGTATTATTCAGAGAAAATCTCCAGATATAGTTTCTAATTAAGAGCATCTCCTTAAGTCATCATCATTACTTTCACTTGTGATTACTGTACCGCAATAATCTATGAGAATGGGTTATTTTGGACGGAATTCTTGCTTCACCGGTAAAGTCATCTTTTATTGGGTTGTGGATGTCTTTCTGAGCAGTTTGTAACTTTTGAGTTTCTCTTCCCTTATTTGAGCTTGATCCCATGTTATGACATAGTTGTTTCTGGTGTTAATACTGGTTGGGACAGGCTGATACCCTAGCTTGTGGTAGTGTCTAAAGCAGCCTATATCTACTGCTCTACTCTCCTGTAGGTTTAGGTCCAACTGCCAAATCTGAAACATATACTGTACAGAATTAGTAATTTTCTAGCTATTTCAACCAAAATATTAAGTTTTTGTGTCCTTGCATGCATTTTTATAGCCTTTGAGTCATTAATGAATGATGTGCATGATACCCCCATTAGATTGTTCTTACCAGGGGTTTTCTTGGCCAAGGGGATGACATGATATGACAGCAGTCTATATAATGTCCTAACAAACACTGATGTAAAATTAATGCAAATCAACTCCTTGGTTCAAACTTCTTGCTCAGTGTTTGCTTCATGCCAGTGATGCTTTAGGTACAAGATTGAGACCTAAGATAAGTTCAGCTTTGTCTCAAGACACTATCAATCATAACTAAGTTAATGCTTTAAGCTCTTTATAGTTATGGTACCTAATGCCAGTCAAACATAGCCTACACCCAGATGACTCTTTGTTGCTCCTTTAGTTGATCTTCCTTGGAGGTGAAATCATTAATCAACACAGCTATATTACCTCTCACTTTTTAGTTATACACAGGTATTTGTTGTCGATACAATCTCAACTGTATTTTATTTGTTGAGGTAACTGGGTATTTGATGGTGAGATGGTTTGGTGAAACTGACTTGTCCTAGTGTTATAGGTGTTTCACGTGTCATGCACATTAGCTTAATGTTTCATTTATCATTAAAGGTTAAATTATTGCATTTGTTTACTTCTGCCTGCAACCCACAACTGACTCCTCCTGCTGATTATTATGTTTTTGCTTGCACAGTGAATAGTTGCCCCCCTTAGGATTGCCTCTGACTTATGACATAAAGATATTATCATAGTTAACTTGCTTAGTACCTGCCATCTTTAATCATATTTACTGAGATTTGCACAGTAACCAGAAACAAAAATGGGGCCCATATCACATTAAGTTTCAAATAATTATAATGTACTGTACAATAATTAATCAACCTTAGTAATTTGTAGTAAGGTTTGCTCAGAAAGATCAAGTCTTAGTGTTTTGATGACACTGTTAAGGTGATGATGAGTAACTTGTAGCCCCAGAAAATCGTACAAGTAAGAGAGGACGTGGTGTGGTTTTAGCAGCAGATGTTCATATCGTAACACCTGTAACAAAAAATGAAAAAAAAAATTAAAGATACACTTACTGTATAATATGCATGCTTGCAATAGCAAACTTTAAGAAAGCTAATCTTAGAATGCAAAAAGTTTTTCAAAATGAATACTTTTGTATTTATGTACAGTACAGGTACAGTACTGTACAATCAAAGACAAAAGTCGTGTCGCGGTTTTGTCTGAAGATTAAATATAACTCGTGAAACATTATGAGAGGGCCTCAAGGCAGAGCGCACCAAAATTTTAGCCCTTCGGCATATATTTTCATCAAATTTCATGACACGACTTTTGTCTTTCATTGTACAGTACATGTGAGATCATTTTAAGTTTTGTTCTATTGCTGTGCTACTGCTCTTGTATGACTATACTGTACTTTACACAAGTTAAATTTGCTTCAATGATGATTCTTTCAGTAATTGAAAATGCAAGTTCATCATCGGACATTTCTATTACCACATTTGGCGGCATATAAGACGCACCACCACATAAGACGCACCCTTATTTTACAAGGATATTTGGGGGATTTTTTATTTTTATTTTTTTGTAAATTTCGTCATACAATTATTGAAAGTGATTTTAAAGTGGTTTTGTAGGGGAAAACATATGATTTTGTGCATGTAAATGCAATATATACTGGAATCAAGTGGTTAATCATATTGCCATTAAATTAAAGCAATAATAATGAGATACGTTCCCAAGTGTGACCTTTTCATAACTTTTGTGTGGCTTTTTACCCTCTTTTTTTCCCCAAAAAACAATACATTTAATGAAAATTGCAAACTATATTCTTTAAATAATGTTTTTGAATGCACCTTATACAATATAAATGAATAATAATATAGTCGCACAAAAGGAGATGGGATGCCATTGTTTTTGTTTGTGTTTACAGCCGGGAGTCCGGGACGATAGTTCTACACGAGAAAATGAAGAAAATAAGACCTTGGTTGTAACTGTAGTAAAATTAATGTAAAAAAATGAATATATATGTTTTAAGTAACGTTATTTAATGTTAATAAATGGAATAACATAAGTAGCTAACCACTAATGGCAAAGAAAAAAAAAATAGATGGATTGGGAACGCCAACATATACGTGCGCATTTAAGGATACCGCGTCATTTATCTTTTTAAGAATATGTACAAAAGATTCATTATTGTTTATTACTGAATATGTATTTGATTGAATTAATCTTTATACCCTGTATATGCGAAATGAACAATACAATTCATTAATAATACGTAGAATATTAAAACACACAAGAAGATAAGAGACGGCATTGTTGTCAGTGTTTACACCCATAATGTCAGTTATCCACCTGAAACTGAAGAAAATAAGACCCTGGTTGTTATTGTAGTTAAATTAATCTAAAAAATATGTATGTTTTAATTACTGTTATTTAATGTACAGTAGAAGTAACCACTGATATTAAAGAAAAAGTGAGACTGATAGTGGAACTCCAATGTATACAGTATGTGCGCACTCAAGGAAACAGTCATCTATCTTAACAAAAGATTCATTATTGTTTATTACTGAATATTTATTTGATTGAATTCATGTTTATATACTGTATGTGAAATGAACAATGCAATTCATCAATAATATGTGAATTTGGCTTGTTTTTCAGTATTTTATTAAGAGTAATATTTTTAGTAAATTTTTTTTGTGCTTAGTGGACTACTGCTTGTCCCAGACCACCTAGCTAGGCACCTCCGCTTACGGCACTCGGCCTCCCATCCGTAATACGGGTGTATTAGACGCAGGGTAATTTGGGATACATTAAAAAAAAAATGCGTCTTATACACCGGCAAATACGGTATGTATTAATTGCATTACTGTATTTTTGTTTTTAAAACAAATAATAGCAAGTGGGAGAGTAAAAAGAAAGAAGCAGGAGCCCAAAACACAAGTTACCTGTATGTGTGTGTTAAATGGATGACTTTTTTTTCTATTGAAGGCCACAGACAAAGGATAACCACTACTGGTAATCATAACTTGAAGTAAAGTTTAAGAAGTAACTACAGTATGGAGTGACAGGATGAAGGTGAATAAGAGAGACAAATATAAGTTGAGTGTTGTGTTCTCACCATGACAGACTGTGGGTACTGCTGACGCAGCTGGTAGGCCACTCCCAAGTCATCAACCATAGCGCCACACAGCAACGATGCCTGCACCATCAACACATACAGTACTCCATTACCCTCTCTACAGTAAACCAACTCTTGTATTCTGAACAGTTTGGCATTTATTTTAGAATTATCATAAAATATCAAAATTTTCCCATAAGAAAAACCTTTTACAGTAGTTACAAAGTGTGAAATTTTCAAGGAAATGTAAACTATATATTGGAAACAGTCGCCCAATTTGCACATCAACCTGTGTTTTGAAGTCGGCGGGGTTATTTAAGTTGATTTGTGTTGCTGCCCTCCGTCTAGCTCCCAACACTGCCCGTGGGTCCCTTAACACCACCACCATCTGTAACACCACTGCATATGCATTACTCAGGTACACACACACAAGTAATGTACAATATTGCAAGATAGAGTAATTTAATTAGTTAGAGTATTAAAATTATTCATAAGTAAGTGAATGAAAAGTTAACATACTAATTATATTCATTTAAATGATGTAAGCAAAAAGTAGCAATCACTTATGTTGGAGTTGTTGAAAATACCTTAAGTTTAGATGAGTACATGTTGAGGAGTTGAAGTATGTGAAACATGGAGAGGTGCACGATGTACATTGCTTGCAGGGGCCTCTGTTGACATGCCAGCTGTACACAGTCCAGCAGCCCCACCTGCACCACACCACCATACTGACACCTCCATACATATATTTTGTTGGCTATCTACCTACCCTTCTCACACAAATTATTATGTCAGTTTATAATTACAATATATTAGCACCAAATATAGGAACATAAAAATAACATGTACTGTATACCTGTAGTACATTTACTGTATAGTAGCTAAAAAAAGTATCTGTGCATACTCTATGTGAAACAATACGAGACCACTGACGATAGGTATTGGGATATGTTTGTTGTTGTCTTCTTACACTATATGATAGTAATCACTTAACCATTTATTTTATTCCTATATGTCAACTCACCCCCTGGCTGTGGGTGAAGACATGCATACCAACCCTCCCGAGACATCACGAGTTGTGCGTATAATTTTGGAAGTCGTCGGACCCACCCTGTCAGATACTTTTTTTAGTTACTGTACATGCCGTACCAATAAATAAAAAATTTTAAAAGTAGAGGAAATAATGGCTTTTACAGGATTTACTCATAATTTACTATAGTGAAAAACAAAAGTTCTTTCTAATTCTTATATTCTGTAATTATTATGTAAACTTTATTGCGAAGTTGTTTGTAGCTTTAAAAGAATACAGTACACCTTTATTAAGCTTTTTTCTCGATGTACAGTATTGTAATGTGCAAAGTGAAGTGCAGTATACAGTACTGTACTGTGATGATTGAATGAGTTTGACAAGGTTTACAAAGAGAAGTTACCTGGTGGTTGTGGCAGTAGTTGTTATAAGTGTTGCGGACTGAGTGGGACTTGAAGAGGAAGGGTTCGTGTAGCAGGTCGCTTCTCTGGTTGAAGGAACAGTTGAACACACCTCGCAGCCACTCTATGCCTTCTTCTGTCTGCCCACCAACAGAAACTCACCAATATTTACACATGATACACCAAGTTATGAAAGACAATCTTAACACCCACCACATTTTAGGGAAATACAGGGCCTGAGGGGTATTGTCTTGACCCATGCCAACTGTCTGTTTGTCTGTTAACATTTGCACAATATTTGCTTCATTTCTCCTCAGTGAAGAAAAACAACAGCAAAAATCATATATTTTCTGAATCCTTTAGTTATTCCCTTTGAAGGTGAAATCAGTAAGGGATCCTCCAGATTTACAACATAAGAACATAAGAATGGAGGAAACTGCAGCAGGCCTATTGGCCCATACTGGGCAGTCCCATTTACACCCAACTCCTATTGCTCATATATCCATCCAACCTATGTTTGAAGCTATCATGCATATTCGAGTTAATGATGATGTTTGGTAACTTGTTCCACTCATCCACTACTCTATTTCCAAACCATTGTTTACATATTTCGCGCCTAAATCTAAATTTGTCTAATTTAAAACCATTGTTACGAGTTCACTCCTGGTTGGATAGTTTGAGTACTGTACCTTTGTAATGTCCCCTTTGTTCAGCCCTGACTTCCAAAGGTACAATACAGGTACAGAACTGTATTTATTTTTGCAGTGCAGTACTGTACTGTACATTACTGATCTTGGATCACAAATGGTTATTGTATATGTGATTCCTCCAAAACAATGATGAATGATCCCGGAAACTATTTTTTCTGGATTGCCATAATTTCTAGATGTGCCTTTCAAAGGTCAAATCATTAAGGGTTCCTATAATTTGCAGTATTGGTACAGATATTTTTATGTAAAATTCCAGGAACCTTGGTCTAAGGACAGAGTTACCTCTGAAGGTCACAGGCCTTGTAAGGTGTGGTACAAATGAAACTTCGCTTGAATACAGTACAGTACAGTACTGTATTATCATCAGAAAAAAGGTGAAGGTTGTATAATATGGACACGAAGTAGTACCTTAAGCTTGTGGCTCTCTTGAACACAGACTATTTTTACGTTTTTACAGTACAATTATTGGTCATTCTAAAATATATTTAACATATTGACAATATATAGCACAGTGCAGTGTTGATTTAAAGAAAATAATCTTGAATTAGACCTAATGAACTTAAAAATTTTATGGGTGAAATGATGGCATGAAGCATGGGGTGATTTCTCTTCCACCCCCACTTCCTTCTCTTCTCCCTTCTGCTCCACCCCCACTTTTAATTCCCATCATCATCATCATCCAGGAGCCTTCTACATACACACCTCAAAGTAAGTGTATTTTACTGCATTTTTTTTTTAGTTTGTATGTAATTTTTGGTGAGCTGGAACCAATTACTTGAACCCAAAATCCCATTGAAACAATGGTTTTGGTTAAAATTTTTGATTAACGAACGACCTTCTGGAACAAATTGTGTTCATTAACCGAGGGACCACTGTATACAGTATGCAGTCTAGATCAACCAGTTTTGGTTATACTGCACAGTATATTGTGTACATGAAGTATATTTCTAACATTGTCCACCTACCTAGGACATATATAAGATAGGAGGATGTACCTTTTCCTTCTTGAGAAGATGGACTCTGGTGAGCCCCTGGGAGCCTAGCTTGTACAGTGGTTGGTAGAGAAAGAAAATTTCATCCAGCAGCAGATTGAGAGCTTCAGACACCACCCCACCACCCCCATGATCGTATGAGTGCACCAGGAATCTGTTGGCCAGAGCTCCGGGTTTAAGGTGAACTCTAGATTGCCTGGTGGTATTAGTGGGTGTATAGGTGGTGATGAGGGCTTGGGGTAGTGGTGATAGTGCAGGGAGGGGCCCCCGAGCATCCTCATCCTTACTGTCATCAGCTACAAGGATCACTGGAGCATTTGGGTCCAACAGAACATCTGCCAATGAAAGTAAAACATTACTCCTACTGTGAGTGTAATGATATTGATGTATCGTATGACTAATGTTACTGATAATGATGGTTGCTGGTTTTGTAGTAAAGGTACAGTAGTGTATTGTACCGTTGAGTGAGTGGCAGGTTATAACAGTTGAAGAGGAAATTGAGAGAAAAGCCATAGTAAAAAATAAATATAAGTACAGTACAACGGTACAGCATAATTATGTTCATATCCTGTCATGGTTATAAATATCTTTAATAAACATGCTCATTGCTTTGGATTACAAATGTAAAAAAAGAATTACAGGTGTATTTTATACCACCTTTTAAAACACTTCATTATGGTGGCTGCCACTTTAAACACTTCACTATGGGGGCTGCCACTTTAAACACTTCACTATGGGGGCTGCCACTTTAAACACTTCACTATGGGGCTGCCACTTTAAACACTTCACTATGGGGGCTGCCACTTTAAACACTTCACTATGGGGGCTGCTACTTTAAACACTTCACTATCGGGGCTGCCACTTTAAAAACTTCACTATGGGGGTTGCCACTTTAAACAATTCACTATGGGGGTTGCCTCTCTAAACACTTGACTATGGGGGTTGCCACTTTAAACACTTCACTATGGGGGCTGCCACTTATAATATTTTATTTGGCTAATGCCAGGTGATTTTGTTCAACTCAGAGGCGACACCATACACAAAGGTTTAAATCAAAACCAAACCTGACGATATAAAGTGTATACAGTACAGCATGTTTGTGAAGTTGGGTTGGGTTTGATGGAGTTTCTGTAACTGCTTTAAAACAAGTGCATGTTGCTGCAGTCACCCTTTTGATGAAAGATTACCGTACTATAATATGCAGGGGAAGATGTCACTTAAAATTTTAATTTTTTTTCTCAAGATATCTGTTACCAAAGTGTTTCACATGCTAATTTTTGTTTCCCAAAGTGCAGAAATTACCAGAGATCAGCACAGTACTAGTAGTAGGTGGTGTTACTAGTTTTTTTTTTTTTTAATTGGCCTCCAGCCTCCCCCAATAGCCATACCTTTGCCACCATTTTATTACCTTAATATTAAATATCCTAATACAGAAGTAGCTATCCTAGCTGTGTTGAGTTAGTTAAGCTGCAAATCTATGCAGCATTCAGTGACTGTAGCCTCATAGTCAATATCTGCAACTGTTGTCGGCTTTGGGGCCGAAACTCTCGTTCCCCTGAGACAGAGCAAAGCCGACCTAAGGAGAGAAAAGGACAGTCGACATCTCATGCAGGCTGTAACATAACTTCCGGGCTGCTGGTTCTGTTCGGATATTACCTCCGCGAGTCTGGCGTAGAAGCATCTTGCACTTGGTTCCATCCCACCAGAGGTTGTGAACACTAGAGGAGTGAAGCTGCCTTGATCAACATTCTGAATTCTCTCCCCCGTATGTCCTTATCTTGTCGTTCTCATTCCTCCTGTGTGCAGCATCGAGAGCTAAGTTACGGTGACATGCGGCCATGGGATAAAAAATCCTGATGTCGAAGAAGGCTCACTGTCCCTGCGTCCAGAATCCTCAAGCACTGCCGTCAACACGGGCTTCGTTGGATGTGTTTGAAGTCCTATGTTGGAAAATCTCACCGTCCAATGGAAGGAGGGTCGGTTCTACCCTAACATCACGGCAGATTTCCTTCATCATATTTGCTGTGAGATCCCTTACTTCGTCATGCCTCATGCATATGAAGCCCCCTTTCTTGCACACCATGGCGTGATCGACATCATAGGAAGAGCCACACACGCATTGGGAGGGCAAACCACCTACTGGCCTACCATACCCAAGAGCAATGGCATCTGTAACTTCTTGTTTATTGAGACAAACCATTTGCCCTACTAGTTGTAGGTGGCATTACTAGTACCAGTAGCAGGTGGTGGTACTAGTAGTAGGTGGCAGTACTCGTAGCAGGTGGCAGTAGTAGTAGGTTGCAGTAGTAGTAGATGGCAGTACTAATAGTAGGTTACAGTACTAGTAGTAGGTGGCAGTACTAGTAGTAAGTGGCAGTATTTGTAGTAGGTAGCAGTAGTAGGCAGCAGTACTAGTACCAGTAGTAGGTGGCAGTACTAGTACCAGTAATAGGTGGCAGTGCTTGTAGTAGTAGGTTGCAGTACTAGTAGTAGTTGGTTGCTGGAGGGGAAGCTGCCATTCACGCCATGAGAACGATATTTGAGCAGCGTGATTGTGAGGCTGTTCTCCTGGTTGACGCTTACCAACGCATTCAACATACTTAACCGCAAGGCCAAACTGCACAACATCAAGAGTCCAAGCTTTGCAATGTATGTTGAAAACACCTATAGGAATCCATCAGACCTCTATACTGTACTGTGACCCCTCGTTTAACGAACACCTCGGTTAACGTAATTTCGATTAACGAACTGCCTTCCATAAGGATCTTCAATTCGGTTAACGAAAAAAATTCGATTAACGAAGTTCTTACGAACCGACCTCAACATGTTTTCGCTTGCACTGACCGGGCAACCAGCTTTAGTATCAGTCCGCCAATACATTAATCGGTTCTAGGGCTTAAATTCCTTACTATTTTAGTAAATATCAAGAAGTTTATACTATTCAATAATTTTAAAAGTTTAATATTCAATTTTTAGTTATTTTAACAATTATTGAACATAATTGAAGGTAAAGTGACTAGTTTTTAATGCGCGGCATCCAGCCTCTTAACACAGCAAACAGGAGTTAGTCTCTCTCTGTTTTCACTGGAGGTAACATCTTGCTTGAGACTCTCTTCAACTAAATGCTTTTTTTCTGTGTTTCCAGGCAAATTATTGGTCATTTTGAAATATATTTTACATATTGACAATATATAATGCAGTGCAGTGTTGATTTAAAGAAAATAATCTTGAATTACACCAAGAGAACTAAAATTTTTTGGATGAAATGGTGCCATGGGGTGACTTCTCTTCCACCCCAATGCCTTCTCTTCTTCCTTCTCCTCCACCCCCATTCTAAATCCCATCATCATCATCATCCAGAAGCCTTCTACATACACACCTCAAAGTAAGTGAACTTCTACCATTTTTGTTGAATTTAGGAAATTTTCGGTGAGCTGGAACCAATTACCCAAAAACCCATTGAAACAATGGTTTCGGTTAACGAACTTTTCGGTTAACGAACGACCTTCTGGAACGGATTGAGTTCGTTAACGGAGGGGTCACTGTATAGTAAACATCAAGGCTCTAAGAGGTGATATCATCATACAGTCAACTGAGAGAACAATGCAGGGGGACCCTGTTGCAATGGCAATGTATGCAATAGGCCTATCCGTGCTCCAACACACAATAAAATTTGAAACAACCAAGTTCAAGAAAGTGGCATATGCTGATGACCTTACAGGAGCAGGAAAAGAGGACATCAAAAAGTGGTGGGACCTGATAACATCATAGTCCACAAATAGGGTACAACCCAAATGCCAGCAAGTCTTTCGTCATTGTGAAGCCAGAAAATTATGAACGGGCAATGGAGGTGTTCGGTGGAAGCAAGATCAAAATAACAAAGGATGGCCGAAGACACCTAGGCACAGTAATCGGCACGACGGAGTTCAAGACCGAGTGTGGAATGGGAATGGTGAATGAGTGGGTTAGGGAAATCCAAGCTCTGTCTGATATTGCCAACACAGAGCCCATACGGCTTTTGAGGCATTCACCCATGGAGTCGAGCATCGCTGGAACTACGTGATGCGCATTATCCCTGATATCGGACCCCTCCTCCACCCTCTGGAAGAAGCTGTCAGTGTCAGTTTCATTCCCAAATTAGTGAAACATCTTCACTTAACCCCAGCAGAAAGATCACTCCTTGTACTACCACCGATACTGGGAGGAATGGGATTGACCAATCCAGAGGAGATTGCTGCCACCGAACATCAAAACTCAGTTAAGCTCACGTCAGCCCTCACTGACCACATAATAGCTCAGAACGCAACAGGTGAGGTGGATACCAGCGAAGTAAACAAGATTCGACGGTCCATTACGACAGCACGGCCAAAGTGATAAGTTGCAGCAACTGATGCTGCAAGTACCAGAGAATTTGAAGAAAAAAAGTAGCTATAGCGCAGGAGGTGGGCGCCTCTAACTAGTTAACTATGTTACCGATAAGGGCAAATGGTTTCAGTCTCAATAAACAAGAATTTACAGATGCCATTGCTCTTGGGTATGGAAGGCCAGTAGAAGGTTTGCCCTCCCAATGCATGTGTGGCTCTTCCTATGATGTCGATCACGCCATGGTGTGCAAGAAAGGGGGCTTCATATGTTGAAGGAAATCTGTCGTGATGTCAGGGTAGAACCGACCCTCCTTCCATTGGACGGTGAGCACTTCCAACATAGGACTTCAAACACATCCAACGAAGTCCGTGTTAACGTCAGTGCTCGAGGATTCTGGATGCGGGGACAGCGAGCCGTCTTTGACATCAGGATTTTTTATCCCATGGCCGCATGTTACCATAACTTAGCTCTCGATGCTGCACACAGGAGGAACGAGAACAACAAGATAAGGACATACGGGAAGAGAATTCAGAATGTTGATCAAGGCAGCTTCACTCCTCTGGTGTTCACAACCTCTGGTGGGATGGGACCAAGTGCAAGATGCTTCTACGCCAGACTCGCGGAGGTGCTATCCGAACAAAAACAGCAGCCCAAAAGTAATGTTACAGCCTGGATGAGATGTCGACTGTCCTTCTCTCTCCTTAGGTCTGCTTTGCTCTGTCTCAGAGGAACGAGAGCATCAGCCCCAAAGCCGACAACAGTTGCAGATATTGACTGAGGCAACAGTCACTGAATGCCGCATAGATCTGTGGCTCAATTAACTCAACACAGCTAGGATAGCTACTTGTTCCTTATAGCGTTATAGCATTCGTTCGTTATAGGATTAATCCGTTCCAGGCCCCCAAATACAACCACTTCACACTGAAAAATATAATATAAAATTGTAAAAATTGTAAAAAAGTGCATAAAT